GCCTTCTTCCTAACACAGTTCAGAAAAGAGAGAGCTACATACAAACGAAGCATACTGACTGCAAAAACTACCACCTGGAAGAAATTCTGCAGCGAGAACTCTGATCCCTTCGGAATTCTCCACAAAATCTCAACAAGCAAAGTTTTTCGACCCCACCAAATCTACTTGCAGCAACAAACTGCCAACTCGAACACCAGCCTTACCTCAAACACTGCTGCAATTATCTTGAGCACCGTCTTTCCCTCAGATAACCCAGCTGATGATTCACCGGAACAAAAGCTTCTTAGAAACAACCACGCAGCACCGATGACCCAAGACGACATTCCCTTCACCAGGCAAGAAATCACACAAATCTATCGTACCCTGCCCATGAAGAAAGCACCAGGCCCTGACGGCCTACACTATAGCATCCTCAAGATCACCTACAAATCACATCCCATCTTCTTTCTGCACTTTTTTGTGCACAAGCGCCTTTAAGACTCGTCATGTAGTCTTTTTCACTAAAAATAACAAAGATGCCCAAAGCCCAAGCTCACTCCGACCTATCTGCCTGTTGCCGGCTCTAGGCATCTAGGCAAAGTCTACGAAGAAATAATAGTGCAAAGACTCAACTTTCACCTGCCAGACAACTGCATCCTAAGCAGCAGACAGTTCGATTACCGCTCTGGCTTCTCCACACTGCATGCACTGGAGGAATGTCGACGGATAATCCACCACAACAAAGAACAACAGCTTCACACGGCCTTTGTCTCAATTGACCTTCAGAGTGCCTTTGACACCCTCTGGTGGCCGGCCATTAAACAAGCTCTCCTCATCTCGATGCCCCCGTAACATCTATGGCATATTTGACAGTTACCTCCAGAATCGTTTCCTCCTGGTCCCACACAACAACGGGACAACCATCAAACAGCAGGAGAGGATGCCGCAAGGATCTTGCTGCCGGCCCAGTGCTCTGGAATCTAACTTTCAACAGCATCATCTCCACCAACTGGCCACAGCATACACAGCTAGTTGCATATGCAGACGACGTTGCGTTCCTAATCCAGGGTCGCACCAGAAACGAATTGGAACACATAAGCACTTAAATATTACAAAAATTCAGCTCACCATGCGAAGAACTCAAAATAACCATCCCCACTGCCAAATCAACCGCACTCACACAACTCAAACTCAAGACACAAGTCTTTCAAGCAAGACCCGTCAATTCCACAGTATAAATTGGGGACAAAACCCATATATTAACAAGATTTTATACACCACAGTCATTGAATCCATTGTCCTGTGCGCTGCCGCAATATGTGCGACGCCGATGCAAAGCCGGAAACTTAAACAACTACAGACCATCCAAAGACCTTTCGCACTAATGATGTGCAAAGGTTTTCGCACCACAGCCACCTCTGCGGCCATCATCCTTGCAGGCATACCGCCACTATACCTTAGAGCCGAGCAAGAAGCTACAATAACCAGAGTCCTGCAACTACGCAAAGACGCCACCTTCCACGATACAACCCACAGTCCGACCTTATATGAAAACCCTCGCCCACCCAACGCCCACACCCAGGCATTCAAGGAAGAAACTTCCGCATCACCATAGACAACACTAGCACATTCTAGTATTCCCAACGCTACGTACGTCTACTACAAACACCGATGGATCCAAGATTGAAGACGGAGTTGGAAGCGCCTACATTTGCTACCACCAAAATGATGAACATACCAGTTGGAAGGCAGCACTTGCGGCACTTCAATAGTGTGTTCCAGGCAGAAGCCTTGGCCATCCTCAACGCCACCAACGACATACTAAGTAACGGCTACCACCAAGCATGCATCAGTACAGAAAGCCAATTGTCACGCCTGGCAACTCACAACTTAAGACATACCTCCCCAATTACCTCCGAAATTCAAAAGCTACACTCCCTCAACTACCAGCAACGCATTCACCTCACCTGGGTCAAGGCGCATGCTGGCCTCGATGGAAACGAGGCAGAAAACACTCTAGCCAAATGAGCCGCTACCAGTTCTGAAGTCCAGCAAATTCGCATCCGTGCACCACCGTCGGACCTAAAGAGGCTAATCAAAGAAGACCTACTCAAAAATGGCAAGAGGAATGGAAGATGCTTGCGTGTGCAGCCAACCTGTATCACCAGAACACTACATCTACTCTTGCACACTCACAACACACAACCACATTAAGCATCCCATTCCTCCTAGAGACGCATTTCAACGGTTCATTATTAAAAAAAACCTGCAATCAATAAAATCTGTAAGTCATTGACCAGCTCGCAGCTATGAGCCAAGATATATGCGACGCTGCATAATCCCACAACGTCCGCCACTAACAGAAGTCAACATGCACATCACCCTGTGCTGTTAACACGTCACCGCGCTCGGCCGTGTTCACACACTCAACAACCTATGTGCTCTACAAATATATATTCGCCAGGACCTCTCCGTGTCCCCCATATCAATGCCCAGCAATCACATGTTAATCCCAGTATCCTGGCCCCTCGTCTGTAAACACACTCCACAATGTACCAAATATGTGGTCAAATGAGGCCAAATATGTACCTGACATGTGGTATATGTGTATTATGTTTTTTTAAGTGTGTTTTATTTATCTTTAGTGTTAATCAAGTTCATCCTCCTTTTTGTGAGTGTGTTTTCAGTATATTTAGTACTTAGCTCTGAGCCCCTCATGTGTAAATCCATCCCACAAGTCTTATACCTGTAATTATGTAACTAGTCAAGCAATGTAAATAACTCCCCCCTGTTTGGTTATGTAAACTCCTCTTGGGCTCTCAATAAGCTCCCGGTGTTGTCTCTTGAGGCTCCAAGGAGTTGTTGCCACTATATAGCGGAAGGCGAGGGACACACGCCTGTTTATCACTCGTAGACACAAGGCGTCCCCGTCTTCCGTCATCTACCTACCTACTTACCCACAGATGAGGCGACATTAACCCGCCAGGTTGTATCTGATGCCTACAATTCTCATCTGAAAATTCAAGAATTCGAAGTTTATGCGACAGAGAATTCAAAGTTTATGCGACCACATGTATATCAACAAAAATTCATTGTGAATTTGCGGTCAGGTACCGCGCAAGAGTTTTTAATTGGCCCATACCTATTGCCACAATGGCCCAAAGGCAAAATCTATCTTTTTTTCTGGAACAGGTGTTACCAGAAATGTTGCGGGATGTTCCAATCTTCATTCGTAAATTAATGAAATTCCAGTATGAGAAAGGACCAACAGACTTGCGCACTGAATTTCGCGATTTATTGGATGTTACTTGTGGGGCGATATGAATCAGCCGTGGTAGATCAGTCCCTAGGCTAACCAGATCCCGTAATTTCTCGAGCGTCTATTTTTTTGGGGGATACCCGAACAGTATTGTTTATCCAACTTTATTATTCTCATCTAAAGATATCGTTGTTCGAATATCAGTAGCTGCTGCGTGTGTGCGTGAGATACCTGGCATTTTCGGGAGTGTACACCACAAGTTTCTCCATCGATGTTTTCAAGCATGTATCGCTGTTGGTAATCGGAAGTTTAACTGTTCTTGTAAACATTTTGTTTCAGTTGAACTGAGACGCCCCGTATTTATGACTCAATAGACGGATTTCGACCTAAATTTCCTACGGAGATATTGTTCATATCTTAGTTCTGTACCTCGCTTCGAAGGTTTTACCATGAACTTTCATTAAAAGTGGAAATATATCTATCGCAAATAGTATTTTTTGAAATATATTCTGAAAGGAAAAAATTATTAACACCAAAACGTAGGATTTAAAAACGTAGATCTGATTTTAATCTTATTCATTGTCTGAAAGTATTGATTTTAGACATGAGCTTACGTAAATGTCTTTACATTTTGCAGATTACATGAAAAAAGGAGCACAGTTTCTCTAATAATAGCAGATGCTGTTGCGCTTAAAATGCTGCTATTACTCATATGAATTGTGTACATAGGTGGATAAGGATAGTGGAATTATATGTGGAATTTCCAAATTTTCCGGTAAAATATACCATGAAAAGCATAAGAGAAATGATGATTTTCTGAAAATTTAAGAATGCAGGGGACACTCTATTTAACATTCCGGAAATGGCTGTTGCGCTAATATTGTCTAGATACAGCAAACGATTGCTTTTTACGACTGCTTTGGCGACGGATTTTTGTCATCAAATGTGAGGGGAAATGGCCAAACGTCTCCAAACCCGGCGACCATTTTGCAACGTTTTGGTCCGGATCCTGTCTAACTCTAATGGTTTTTGAAATTCAATATCTGTAATTGATACCTGTATTAGCTGTAACCGTATCGCGGACTTGACATGCTTTTAAGGGATTTCGAGAAGCAGAAAGCATTAGAGATTACTCGGCGGCAGGTAGAAAAGTATATAGAGCGAGAGAGAAAATGTGAGATAACTGCGTGTTAGATTCGCTCCCGACATTCGCTTTGTAATGAGCTGTGTTTAACGTCTTTAGTAGTTTGATGTTTACCTACTGATTATACTCTGTGATATTGTGAAGAGCTGTATTTAGACGTTTGCAGAAAATTCAGAACTATGAAGGACTTTTTTGGTAAAATATATTTTATCAAGCTATGATCAGTTCTGCGTGCATTAAATCTGTTAGAAAACCGTATGCACTCAACGATATGTAACACTGAATTTTTCTGACGCGTCTTTCACACAAAAGTATAATTCACTGTAATCTTTAGTACAAGAGTCGATTTTCGAAAATCTAAAACTATTGCGATTAATACTAAATGGGCCCCGCACAATAATTCAACAAAAAAAAAAAAAAAAAAAAAAAAAAAAAAAAAAAAAAAAATTGAATATAATTTGAGCGATATATATCCCGGCTTTTTTTATACATGATTTCGAAATTCTTACAGGAAAAAAAAAGACTGAGAAGTTCATTCGTCCTTAACATACACATTATGATATTTTTTTGAAATGTTAATTAAACCATTGAACAAAATTTGCTTTGAGTACTACATACCTGTATCTTCTGATAGCGCACCAACTCCCAATGCACCGGAGCCACCTAAAGTTAACAAATATGCATCAGTTACAGCTTTCAATATTTTAGGTTTCTTGTGATTAAAATGGTTCTTTTTAGTAAGAATCAATCAGAAGTGTTCAAGAACTATAAAGTAATGTTCAGTTTACAGACATACCTAATTCTTGCTTAATGGTATACGCCGGGTATCCTTCAATAAGTGTCAATTCCGCGGGTTAATTGTGTCCAACATTGGTTGATTAATCGTAGTTAGTATTATTTTCATTTATATTTTCTATTTTAAATCAAAGACTAGAGTAACTTTTCTGTATGTCCCAGAGAAACCACTCATCTTGTGTTGGAATAAAGTGGTAAATTAACATTTCTTTGGACTTGTTACATGCACTAGAAGAACTCAACGAATAGAACCGAAACAGGTCCTATGTACTGAAGCCAAATATTATTCGCTCATTTGCACCAAGATTCCGTTTAATCGGACGAAAGAACGTGAAAGCGAATAAGAAACAGAAGCCACAAGTCCGCCACGTACAGCGGATGTAAAGGTAGTCTGCGACATATTAGAGGATTTGTAGTTGCGGTTACCTAGGAAAATGCTTTATTTAAGCAAAGGAATTGCGTAAAGTGCATGACAAAAGCAAAACCGTTGGGAGGTGAACACGTGCACCATTTACTTTGATTTTTCTCTGACCTGCGCCTCCGAGTTTCGAGGAAATGAACAATGCAGTGTCCGGCTCCACGTGAAAGGAATTCCCGCGTATCAATCATGATTAATGCTTACACCAGAAAGCTATCATTTAATCACCTTTTCGGGAGGATTTTAGTGCCAAAGCTTGGGATGGCGAGCATTTTATCTCAATCTTCATCTCAACATCTTGAACCCGAAACACCAAGGTTTCTTCGGACCACTTTAATCAGTGAACTGTGCGCGCGTCTACCCTCCGCTGCCACAATGCCCCGACGGGACTTGACATTAGCTGAAAAATTCGTTTCCTGGATAGCATGAAGCAACAAACACCGAACACTAGTCAACGTCGGTTGTTGGAAATAACCGGATTGGCAAAGACTACAATTTCGCGCTTGATAAAACAAGAGAATTATCTGCGAGAAGAATGGGCACAATGTGAAGGACGAGGAGGAACTTAAAAAAAACGGAAGCGTGAAAGCAAGGACGCAGATGTTGATGAGAGCCTTAATGAATGGTTTGCATTGTTACTGGACGATCTGTGAGAGTAAGCGGCCCAATGTTAAAATGCAAAGCAGAAGAACTCGCTAAAAAGCTGGGCCACGATGACTTTGTTTGGTTGTCTCGATGGAAATCTATACACGACATAAAATTAAAAAAAGCACATGACGAGAAAGAAAGTGCTGATAGCGCAAATGCTGAAGAATGGAAATCAGCAAAACTCTCCTATCAGCAGATGACATCTACAATGCTTATGAGACTGGGCTGTATTATCCTGCTACACCGGACGGCTCGTTAAGTTACAAACTTTTTGCATTCTCTGAGTCCAAAAAAAGCGATGGATCGCGTAACTGTCTTGTGCTGCTCAAACACATCAGGAACGGACAAGAGGAAATTACAGTTGTGTATCGTGAGAACAGAAATGCGTGGATGACCTCTGAATGTTTTAAAGAATGGCTGAAGGATTGGGACAGAAAGCTACTACGACAGTCGAGAAAAATGCTGCTTCTTTTCGACAATTGTGCAGCACATACACATTTAGATTGCTTGATGAACGTCCAACTGGAATTTCGACCTCCCATGACCGCAGCTTTGGTAACGGCCATGGGCATCATAGAAGACCCTTTATCGTGCAATGTTGGCTAATTACATCCTTGAAGCAATTGAAGAAAGTTTGCTGACCTCATCGTCAAAATCCAGCGAAGTTAGTGCAAAGGTCAACATCTTACAAGCAGTTACATTTGTGGCCGACAGCTGGCGAAAAGTGAGCAGTGAGACAATTCAGAACTGTTTTTCTCACTATGGCTTTAAACACTTGGTTTTAGAGATGGATATGGACATGCTCATTGAAAGTGAAAGTGATGATTTACATGTGGAACTTCAACAGGTACACAGTTGCGAAGAATTTTTATCCATTGACAACAAGCTTCAATGCTACGATGAAAATGAAGATTATGACGCTGCTATCGTTGCTCGAGTTGCAGCAAAATACACGACAGTATTTGAAGACCAAGCAGGCGATGATGATGATGCCACTAATAAGTTGCGGCAAGTGACAATACAGGATGCGAGGAAATGCATTGAAACTTTGCGTCGGTATTTCATGCAGGAGGAAAATGAAGGCTGTCCTATTGCTGCGTTAGATGTTTGTGGCGATTTCGTTCACGTGCCATCCGTCAAGAGAAAAGCGTCAGATTACATTGGATACGTTCTTCAAATGTTGACTGGAACTTGGTAAGAAATTGTTTGGAGATTGTTTCTTAGAATTTGGTTTTAATTAATTTTTTAATGACAAAAGTTCGACTGTAGTTCTTGTTTGTACATGTATGTTCGCCATATGTGTGTACAGCACAATAAAGATCATAATTACACTTTAGTACATGATTTACATGTACATTTACTGTTTTGTACATATAGCACGTCCCATATTACAACATAGGAGATGTCCGTGTCATCGCACCAGCCGGTTATTAGGACCAAAACGACCGCTTCCCGATGTGGTCCGATTAACCGCAATCGACTGTACTTGGAAAATATCTTGGCCTTGCGGTTTTCAGTACATATGACAAACACGACCAGTGTTTAAAACGTTTCGGCAGTTTATCATAAGCAGATATTTGACACTAAACTTTGATAGGCTTATTAATATTATGATGAGCACATTTCAGCTTGTCAAAAATGTCTCCTCTTTGTTTAATATCATTAAGAGCCATGCAAACCTATGTAATATTTTCAGATTTACCATATCTGATTTTCTCACGTTAGATGTATAATTTGTTTTGATAGATAGCACTGCAACTGTGAATGCTGTGTTCTATCCATTGTTCTAATGTAAAAATGGTCTAAATATGTACGGATCTACTCTTCTGCAATTCTACTGCCAAAGCTTGTTTTCCTGAGAAAGGCGGAGGTGTGCTTGTTAGCCCTTGAATTTGAAAGGAATTCAACTAATGCATTGTTTTGTTCAGATTTTAAATCAATGAGTGCATGTTTGAGATTAAGCTAAAATTCTGAAGAGCCGTGAAGTGTACAGGGTGAATCCAAATTTATGGTACAAACTTGGAGGGATGATCCCTAACAAAGACATAAATAATATTCGCATAGGAAATTCGGGTCGTAATCCATTTAATTTTGCATTAATTCAACCTAAATTGCATTAAAAAAGAAAAAAAAACTGTAAAGTGCGAATGAGATCACATAACATCTGGTATGAATTGCTTCACACGAAAAAACAGCACACATAGAAACTTTGGAAACTCATTAAAAAAGATCTTCATCAAAGTATGTCACGAAACAGATTTGCATATTGGTAATTTTCATAAATAAGTACGGGCCCACCAGCGGCCGAGCGGTAAAATCACTGAACACTGGTAGTTCGGTCCGAGGTTCGAATCCCGCGAACGGGCTGGCTGCATGGCGTTTTCGTGGTTTTCCCCATGTGTAACGTGTATACGAGCCAGTTTCCCTTAGAAAGTCCTCCACGAAGGCATCCCTCTCCTTAGGCAGATAGCCCTAGTGTGCTTTGCCGTATTCTCAATACACCATAAATATGTACTGTTAAGGTAGAAGGTAGCAGGTGTGCATCTTAGTAGGAAAAGACACTATTCGCGATTGTCCTGTCGTCAGTTATGGTAAACTACGTATGACGAAAGAGCAGATATGGATTACAATCACGGCCGTGCAAATGGTAATTTCAGAGCTGTGCTTCGAATGTCACAAGCGCAGTTCGATAGACGAATGCCGGAGCAAACAATGTTTCATCGGTCAGATCTTCAGCTTTGCGAAACTTGTTTGTCTTCGTCTCCAGGCAGGATGCTACTCGAAGACGAACTGTACGTGATCAAAGATGCGAAGGAAGAATTTTCGCTTATAAACCGAAATCATGTACATGAGACGTTGGACAAACCTTAGGTTTTGGTCAGCATAATATTTGGAGTGTGTTAAACGAAAATGCCGCACACACCTTCCTTCATTTTCTGTTAATACAAACCTTGAATCCGAGAGACAATCCTGAAAATGAACTTCTAACAGTGGCATATGCAACAATTTCCATTCCAGCCGGTCTGTGTAGCTCCAGTGAAGATTATAAATGAGGTGACATTAACCTGTCAGGAGGAATTTTATGTCCACAATACTCATCTGTGGGCAACAGAGAATCGAAAGTTTATGCGACCACATATATCTCAAAAAACGAATCCACGTGAAACTGTGGTCCAGTATCGTCCACGAGCATTTAGTCGGCTCAAAGCTACAGCAGCATTCACCCAAAGACAAAAGGTATCTTTTTACTCTCGAACAGCTGTTACTAGAAATATTCCAGGATGTTCCGATCTTCATTTGCAAACGAATATACACCCATGTCCATAAATTAAGGATAATTCGGACTCACGCTGATATCGAACTCTAAAATAAATATATCACCTGTAAAATCACTACACACATCCTCAAGAATCATATGCGAATTTCGGGAAGTAACCAGATGACACCGATGGTACATCACAATGAGGAGAGTGTAAGAGAGTGATATTATAAGGAATACAGGCAAATAAGTAAAATTGTTCGCAGGCGCTTTATAAGAATTTCAGTGCAATAACCGAATAGTTATGACACAAAGGACGTATTTGGATGATTTTTTACGTGGAAGAATTATCGGCCGTCTGGAACATGGGCGTACCCAACTGGAAGTATCAAACGAACTTGAAATTGCCCTGAGTGTCATATCCAGGCTTTGGCAACGATTCCAAGACGATGGTAATGTGAGTAGACGTTACAGCACAGGTCGCCCCATAGTTACAACGCCGAAGGAGGACCGGTATTTGGCAGTTACTGACGAAAGAAACAGCAGGAGCACAGCCTCAGATCTGTCTCGTTAGCTCTCTTCAGACACTGGTACGACAATTTCAAAGCAGACCGTGTACAAACGCTTAGGGCAGATTGGTCTATATGCTCGTAGACCTATCAGATGTGTTCCCCTTACTGCAACTCACTGTCGCCTGCGGTTAGCCTGGAGTAGAGAGCATGCATTGTGGACACCGCAACAGTGGGCTTGTGTGATGATTTCCGACGAGTCCAGGTTCAGCTGGCAGTCTGATTCTCGCCGGACTTTCATATGGAGAGCTCCAGGTACCCGTTACCACCAAGAAAACATCATTGAACGACACCATTAAGGTGGTGCAGGAGTGCTCGTTTGGGGTGGAATTATTCTAGGTTCCAGAACTGACCTGCATGTTCAAATTCGAACCGTGACATGCCAAATCTTTCGGGACGTCATTCTGGACAACATGTACGTTTGTTTCGGGGCGCCATGGGCGCACAATTTGTGTTTATGGATGACAAAGCCCGTCCTCACCGTGCAAACATCGTAAGCGAATGATTTCAATCAGAGGATATCACCCATATGGACTGGTTAGCATTCTCACCGGACTTGAATCTAGTAGAGTACGTGTGGGATATGCTTGGCCGACGAGTTGCAGCCCGTCAATCTCCTCCTACATGTCTACCGGAACTTCGGAGAGCACTGATTTTTTAGTGGTGTCATATCCCCCAAGATCAGATCGATAATTTGATACTCAGCATGCCTAAACATTGTACGGACTGTATTGCATCGTCTGGGAGACATACAGTGTATTAACAATCATACCAACCATGTAATATTGTTTTTTTTGTAAATACGTTTTTTTTTTGTAATTTGCTCCAGGGAGAAAAAATCGCTATTTTTTTAATAATGTCAAACATATAGCATCTCGTTTTGCTCTTTACCTTTTGTTTAATAAATAAGCTTTACAAATAAGTCAAATTTGCTTTGCTTCTAACTCTTCCTTTACCTGATTTTGCATTATCCTTAATTTATGGACATGAGTGTAATTTCAGTATGATAGCGCACCAACAGACTTTGGCACTGAATTTCATGATTACTTGGATGTCACTTGTTAGGCGCTAGAATCTGCCGTGGTAGATCCCCTTGGCTATGACAATTGCCCTATTTTTTCGAGCCTCGATTATTTTTTGTGGAACATCTGAACAGTCTTGTTTATGCAAATCTAGATAAGAACAGCTATAGATCAAAATGTTGCTCGAATATCAATAGCAGTGTACACAAGTTTCTCCACGGATGTCGTCAAGCATGTATCGCTATTGGTAATCGGAAGTTTGAAATGCCTTTGAGAAAATCTTCATTGAGTTGAAGTGAGACACCCCGTATTTATGACTCAATAGATGTATTCCGACCTACGATTACTATGTACAATATCGTTCATGTATTACTTCTGTATCTCGCTTAGAAGTTTGCACCGTGAATTTTGAAACATTCTGTATAGATTAATGAAAATTCGTTTAAAGGAGGAAAATGTCAATCGCAAATATTACTTCGTGATTTATATTGGAAAAGAAAATATTTAATAGCACCAAAACGTCCGATTTAAAAATATTGATCAGTTTTAAATCTTATTCCTTCTCTGAAAGTAATGTTTCTACGCGTGACCTTATATAAATATCTTTAATTTTTATTGAAAGCATGAAAACATGAGCAATGTTTTTCTGATAATACCCGGTGCTGTTGTACTGAAAATGCAAGTATGATTCATATCGCTATGAATTGAGTGCATAGATGGATAATTTTAGAGAAGTTATATGTGGAATTTCTGTAATTTGCTGCATGATAATATAGCCTGAAAGGCTTGAGAGAAATGATGTTTTGTTGGAAAACTAAGAATACAGGGGAAATTTATTTAACATTCAGTAAATGGCTGTCGCGCTATTTTGGCGAGGTATTGCCAAACCGACGAATGATTTGGCGACTAACTTTTGTCATCAGATTTGACGGGAAATGTTCAAACGTCTAGAAACCTGGCGACCATTTGTCAACATTTTCGTCCGCACCCTGTATAACTGAAATGATATTGTAATTGAATATCTGTAATTGATACATGTATTGGCTGTAAACGTGTACGGCCCTGACATGCTTTTCAGGGATTTCAAGACGTCGAAATCATTAGAGATTTTTCAGCGGCAGGTAGAAAATCATATAAAATGAGAGATAAAATCAGTTTCTCAGTTGGTATTAAAATTTAGTTCATCATGTGCCAACCATTGAGATAACTCTCCTAACGATTACTTAGCAAACTTAAGCCGATAGCTAACTTAGCTAACTTACAATGGAGAAAACTTTACTCTGGTCCTCACATCCGCATTGCGCAGTGAGCTGTGTTTAACATCCTTTATAGTTTGTTGTGTACCTAGTGATTATAATCTGTGATTGTGTGAGTAGGTCTACGAATATTCTTGCAGAAAATTTCAGAACGGTGAAGGGCCTTTTTGATAAAATATATTTTATCAAGGAATCGTCAGTTCTGCGGCATTCGATCTATTAGGAATACCTATGCACGTAACGATATGTAACACTGAATTTTTCTCATACTTCTTTCACACAAGGGTATAATTTACTGCAATCGTTTACAATCGTAAACGAGTTGAATTTAAGAAATCTAATACTGATGTGTATAATACTGACTTATTCCAGTATAAAAATTCACTATACAAAATATTTAATATAATTTGTACGAATATATATCTCCGCTATATTTGTACATCATATCGAACTTACAGGAAAATAAACACTGACGAGTTCATTCGTCCTTACCGTACACATTAAAATAAATTTTTGACATTTTAAGGAAACAATTGAACATAATATAAGCTTCCAGTACTACGTACCTGAAAGTCCTGAACCCGCACCAAATCCCCATGCACCTGGACCACCTAAAATGAATAGATATGCAGAAGTTATTGTTTTCAATATTTTAGGTTTCTTGGGATTAAAATGCTTCTATTTAATAAGAATAAATCCGGGGACCCTAAGAAGTATGATTTAGTATTCATTTAAAGGAGCGTAAGGTAATACGCGCCTACTGCTACACGCCTGGTATTTTACAATAAGTGTCGAATCTGAGGATTAATTCTGTCCTAATTCTCTGATTAATTGTACTTAATAATAGTTACTTTTATACTGCCTACTTCAAATTAAAGACCAAATGCAGGTTTATTGTACTCCCCCCAAAAACCATCTATTTATTCATCTTCGGTTTTAATAAAAGGGTAAATTAACATTTCTTTGGACTTGTCACATACACTAGAAGAACTCAGCGAAACGTCGCTACAAATTTTATCAGTATTCTAGCAAACAAGGTCTCTAGTTTAGCTAGAATACTACAACTTCAATTCTGGTTAAATACTTGAGACATTTGTGACATATTTGGGCACTGCGATTTCCAATACATCGGCCAATCTCGACCAGTGTTTAAAACGTTTCGGAAGCTTTACAGAAGTAGAACCTGATTATAAATTTTACGAGGCTTATTAAGATTGCATGAACACATTTCAAATCCTCAAAAAGTTTTCATGTTTGCCTAACTTTATCAAGAACCATCCAAACCCATTTAAAGTTTTGAGATTTCTCATATCTGAGTATTTGACCTTAGATGTATATATTTTTATACACAGCATTGTAAATGTGAATGCTGTGTACTATCGATTGATTTTAGCGTAAAAACGATCTCCTGTTCTGATATTTCTCCTGCCAAATTTGTTTCCACGAAAAAGAGGGAGCTATATCTGCTCGTTTTAGAGTTTGAAAGGAATTTAATGAACATACATTTTTATTCTAATTTTAAATCAATGACTACATATTTTAAATTAACCTAAAATTTTGAAATAGTCTGACGCCCAAATGGTGATTTTAAATTCATAGTACAAACTTGAGGGGATGGTCCAAAACAAAGATATGAATAATATTCACATTGGATCTTATGGCCGCAATCCATTTATTTATACATAAATACAAATTTAAGAGCATTTGCAATAAAAAAATGTAAAATGCAAATCAGATCAGATGATGTCACGCATGAATTGCTTCATAAGAAGCACATAAAAATATCTTCTTCAAACTCCGTCACGAAAAATATTGGCATATTAGTAATTTCTATAAATATGTATCGTTGCGGTAGAAGTTAGTATATGTGCATCCCAGTAGGGAAAGTCGCTATTCGAGATTGTAACGACTTCAATGATGAGAGACTTTTACGTATGCGAAAAGAGCAGATATGGATCCGAATCAAGTACAAGAGTTGTTGGACGAAGCTTAGGTGTAAACCCTTGAATACGTAACAGTTTCCTTTCGGCCTGTAATTCTACCAGTTAATTTTCCATCATTTTGCAATGTAGTCAGCTTTTACGGCTCCTATGCTGATTAGAGATGAGGCAACATTTATCCGCCAGAGTGAATTGGATGCGCACAATTCTCATCTACGGGCAACAAAGAATCGAACCGTTGTGCGACCACATCTATCTGAACAAAAAATCAGTGAGAATCTGTGGTCAGGTACCGTCTACGAGTTTGTAATTTTACCATACCTACGGGCGCAGCGATCCAAAACATAAAAGGTATCTCTCTTTGCTGGACCAGGTGTTACCAGAAATGCTCCAGCATGTTGCCATCTTCATTGGTCAGTGAAGGTAATTTCAGTATGATAATGCACCAGTAGACTTTGGCACTGAAATTCGCAGTTACTTGGATGTATTTTGTGGGGTGCTATGGATTTGCTTGGGTAGATTAGCAACCTTGGCACCAAGAAACCCGTAATTTTCGAATCTCGATTATTTTTCGGTTGATTAGAACAATCTTGTTTATGTAACACCAGCTGCCTGAAGTAAAGAACACGTTGCTCGAATATCAGTAGCTGTTGTGTGTGTACGTGAGATACCTGACATCTTTGGCAGTGTACACAACACTCTACACCGTAGTTGTCAAGCATGTATCGCTATTGGTAGCCGAAAATTTAATCTTTTTTTCTAAACATCTTCTTTCAATTCAAGTGAGACGCCGTATATTTATGGCTCAACGCGTAGATTTGACCTATGTTCCCCATGTAGATATGGTTCATGTCTTATTTCTATACCTCGCTTCGAAACGTGTACCATGGAATTGAAACCTTTCAGTATAGGTTAGTAAAAATTTATTAAAACTATAAAAATATCTATCGCAAATAGTATTTTGTGAAATAGATTCCGATAGAAAACATTTATTAGCATCAAAACTTCCGATTGAAAAATATCGATCTGATTTAAATCTTATTCATTATCTGAAAGTAGTCGTTATAGACGTGAGCTTACATAAATATTTTAATTTTACTGAATACATGAGAAAAATGGCACTAGCCGGTGCTGTTGTACTGAAAATGCACCTATGATTCATATCGTTATGAATTGTGCACATTGCTAAATGAATTTAGTGAAATTACATATGGGATTTCTGTATTTTCCCGCATGTTAATATAACATGAAAAGCAAGACGGAAATGATGTTTTGGTGGAAAATTAAGAATACAAGGGCAAGTCAATTAAAAATTCATTAAACGGCTATCGCGCTATTCTGGCGACAAATTGTAAAACTGAAGACTGTTTTGGGGACTAAATTTTGTCATGAAATTTTTCAAAATTAGCCAAGCATCTCCAAACCTAGCAACCATTTGGCAAAATTTTGGTCCGCAACCGGTATATCTGAAATGGATATCTGTAACTGATAAATGTATTAGCTGTAAACGTATCCGAGACTCATATGCTTTCCAGCGATTTCGAGAAGCAGAAAGCTTTAGAGATTTCTCGCAGGCAGGCAGATGTATAAAACGGCAGAAAGTATCAGTGTCTTTGTTGATATTAGTAGTTAGATCATCATGGTTCAACCATTCAGGTAATTGGGTGTTATCTTCGTTCTCCATGTTTAGTAGTTTAATTTGTACTTTCTGATTATACTCTGTGATACTGTGAATAGCTATACGAATATTGTTGCAGAAAGTTTCAGAACTGCGAAGGGATTTTTTAGTAAAATGTATTTTATCAAGTTATGTGCATTCAATACATTAGGAACACGTATGAACGCAAAGATATGTAACACTGAATTTTTCTCACGCGTCTTTCACACAAACCTATAAATCACTGCAATCGTTAAATTTAGTATAAGATTTGAATTTAAAAAATCTAATACTAATGGGAATTATACTGCATGGATCCAGCATAATAATTCACTATAAAAAACGTTTAATATAATTTGAGCGAACATATATCCCGGCTATTTTTATACATGATATCGAAATTCTTACAGGAAAATAAAAACTCACAATTTCATCCGCCCTTAACATACAGATAATAATAAAGTTTTGAAATTTGAACAAAACCATTGAACATAATGTTCTTTTATTGCACATAATGTTCTAAGTAACTGAACATCCTGAATTCGCACCAAATCCCCATGCACCTGAACCACCTAAAATGAACACATATGCCACAGTTATTGCTTTCAATATATTAGGTTTCTTGTGATTAAAATGCTTCTATTTAATGAGAATATATAAGTAGACCTAAAGAACTATGATTTAGTGTTCACTTAAAGGCCGTACGTAATATGTACCTGCTGATATACGCCGGGTATATTTCAGTAAGGGCCAACTCCAGGTAATTGTGTCCTAATTCGCTGATGAATTGTACTTAATATTAGTTACGTTTATACTTTCTTCTTTAAATTAAAACCAAACGGAGGTTTATTGTATGTCCTAGAGGAACGATGTATTTACTGATTTTCGGTTGGAAAAAATGGTTAATTAACATTTCTTTGGGCTTATTACATACACTAAAAGAACGCAGCGAATAGTCGCTACAAATTTCATGAGTATTCTATCTTAAGACGAACTTTTGTTTATTTGTATAATATTATTAAAAGCCATGAAAACCTATGTAAAGTTTTCAGATGTCTGAGTATTGCAAGTCAGGCGTATATTTTGATTTTATACATAGTACAGCAAATGTGAATGCTGTGCTCTAACCATTTATTTTAGCGTAAAAATGGTTTAAATTTCTGAAATGTGTCCTGCCAAAGTTTTTTCCCTGAATTAGGGAAGCTATGTCTTTTCGCCCTTCAACATGAAAGGAATTTGATGAATATATAGCTTATTCTAATTTTTAATCACGGACTACATGTTTTAAATTGATGTACACCTGGTAATTCCAAATTTATGCTACAATTTTTGAGGGATGGTTCAGAACAAAGATATGAATTATATTCACAATGGAACCTTTGGTCGCAATCCATTTATTTATTCATAAATACCAATTTAAGAGCATTTACATTAAAAGCTGTAAAATCCAAATCAGATCAGATAACATCCCGCATGAATTGCCTCATAAGAACAGCACATATAGAAAATATCTTCTTCAAATTACGTCACGAAAAATATTTGCATATTAGTAATTTGCATAAATATGTATTGTTGTTTGGGATTTGGATTGGATTATTCAGTTATGGCAAAGCACACGAGGGCTATCTGCCTAAAGGGGGGGGATGCCTTTCGTGGAGGACTTTCTAAGGGAAACTGGCTCGTATACACGTTACACATGGGGAAAACCACGAAAACGCCCATGCAGCCAGCCCGTTCGCGGGATTCGAACCTCAGACCGAACTACCAGCGTTCAGCGTCTTTACCGCTCGGCCGCTGGTGGGCTTAATGTATTGTTGTTATAGAAGGTAGTAGGTGTACATGTTAGTACGGAAATTTGGTATTCGCGATTGTACTCTCCTCAAAAATGAGAGACTTTACGTATGCCCGAAAGAGCAGATTATGGAATACACGCACGGCCGTGCAAACGGTAATACCAGACCTGCGCAACAAATGTCACACGGGCAGTTTATGGATAGGCGAATAAGAGATGATAGAATGTTTCATCGGTTACATCATAAAATTTGTTAAATTTTTTTTTTGCTTCTCCTCAGACACGACTCTCCTGGACAACGAACTGTGCATAATGCAAGATTTGAAGAAAGACCTTTTCACTCACGGACCCGAATCAAGTACAGGAGCTGTTGGAAGAAGCTTAGGTGTGAACTAGCGTAATATTTGGAGAAGGTTAAACGAAAATCGCTTACTTCAATTGCATTTACTGTGATTACAAGCCTTGAATTCCCCAAGACTAGCCTCTGAGCATGAAATTCTACCAGTTCTATTCTGCAGTAATTTCCATTGCAGCCGTACTTCAGAGTTGCAGAGCTGATTACAGATGAGGCGACACTTACCCACCAGAGTGTATTTCATGCGCATGAGTTTCATCTATGGGCAACTGAGAATCGAAACGTTGTTCGACCACGTGTATCTGAACAAAATATCAGTGTGAATCTGCAGTCAGGCATCGTCCACGAAATATAAAATGCACCATATTTACTGATTCTGCAGACACCCAAGAACAAAATTTATCTTTTTTTGTGCTATAGGTGTGGCCAGAAATGTAGCGCCGAATATCAGTAGCTGCTCTATGTGTGCGTGAAATACCTGGCATCATTGGGAATGTAGAGATGTCGCCCATCCGATGTTGTCAAGGATTTAACACTGTTGGTAGTCGGAATTTTGAAATGTTCTTGTAAAAATATTGTTTCAGTTAAGGTCAGACACCCCGCATTTATGCCTCAATAAATGGATTTCAACCTAAGTTTCCTATGTAGATATTGTTTAAATCTTAGGTCTGTACCTCACTTTTAAGTCTTCCCCATGAAATCTGAACATTCGGAATAGCATAGTAAAAACTCATTAAAGGTAGAAAAAAAATAAACATTCCAAATAGTATTTTAGGAAATATATTCCGAAATAAAACATTTATTAGCACCAAAACGTCCGATTTAAAATATTGATCTGATGTCAATCTTATTCATCGTCTGAAAGTAGTGTATTAGACGTGAATTTACGTAAATATCTTTAATTTTTTGCTGAATACATGAAAACATGAGCAATGTTTTTTTGATAATAGCAGGTGCTGTTGCACTGAAAATGCAACTATGATTCAAGTCACTATGAATTGTGTACATAAAAAATAATTTTAGTGAAATAATACGTGGAATTTCTGTATTTTCCCACATGATAATATAACATGAAAAACAAGAGAGAAACGATGTTTTGCTTTAAAATTAAGAACACAGGAGCAAGTCTATTCAACAATCAGTAAATGTCTATTGCGCTATTTTTGCCAAATATTGCCAAACTGACGACTGTTTCGGGGACTAATTTTTATCATCAGAGTTGACGGGAAAGGACCAAACATATCCAACCTGGCGACCATTTGGCAATATTTTGGTTCTCAACCTGTAAAACTCAAATTGAGATTTTAATAGAATATCTGTAGTTGACACCTGTATTAGCTGTAAACGTATCTGCGCCGGACATGCTTTCCAGGTTTATGCAGAAGCAGAAAACTTCAGAGAAATGTATATTAAACGATTAAACGAGACAATACATCAGTTTATGAGTTGTTATTAGTAGTTAGTTCCTCGTGGTTCTAAACATTGAGATAACATTCATGTTAGCTGCCTTCTCCACATGCAATTTGTACTGAGCCTATTGATTATATTCCGTGGTACTATGAACAGCTATACGAATTTTGCTGCAGAAAATTTCGGAACTGTGAAGAGCATTTTTGGTAAAATATATTTCATCAAACTTTCCACAGTTCTGTATGCATTTAATGTGTTAGAAACACGTTTGCACGCAACGATATGTAACACTGAATTTCCTGACGATTCTTTGACATAAAAGTATAATACCCTGGAATCGTTAACTTTTGTGTAAGATTTGTATTTCAGAAATCTAACACTAATTCCATTAATACTAAATGGATCCCGCATAGTAATTCACCATAGAAAACATTTAATAGAATTTGATCGAACAAATTTCCGATCTTTTTATACACGATTTCGAAATTCTTACAGGAAAATGAAGTCTAACAAGTTCTTTCTACCCTAACACACATATTGTAAAAATGTTTTGACATTTTAATAAAATAATTGAACATAATGTGCATTGAGTACTACATACCTGAAAGTCCTGTATCCGCACCAAATTTCCATGCACCTGAACCACCTAAAATGAACAAATATGCGAGAGCTGTAGGTTTCAAAATTTTATGTTTGTTGTAATTAAAATGCTCCTATTTAATACACAATTGATCCCGCATACTAATTCACTAAAGAAAAAAATATTATAATTTTAGCGAACATAGTTCCCATCTTTTTTTATACATGATTTCGAAATTCTTACAGGAAAGTAAAGGTTGACAAGTTCATTCGTCCCTAACACACATATTATAAAAAATTTGTGACATTTTAATAAAAACCGTTGAACATAATGTGCATTGAGTACTACATACCTGAAAGTCCTGTGTCCGCACCAAATTTCCATGCACCTGGACCACCTAAAATGAACAAATATGCGAGAGCTATAGGTTTCAACATTTTATGTTTGTTGTAATTAAAATGCTCCTATTTAAAAAGTAAAAGTCCGACGAACTAAGGAACTATAAATTAGCGTTCATTTTATGGCCGTACGTATTACGTGCCTACTAGTATACAACGGGTAACCTTCAATAAGTGCCAACTCCGCGATTTTATTGTGTCCTACCTCGCTAATTAATTGTATTTAGTATTAGTTACTTTTACACTTTCTCTTTTAAATTAAAAGCCCACTTGGAGGGTTATTGTACGCCCCAGGACAAACATCTATTTATTCATCTTCGGTTGGAATACAAGGGTAAATTTACATTTCATTGAACTTGTTACATACACTAGAAAGACTCAGCAAATTGCGGCTACAATTTCTTCATTATTCTAACTCATGAGGAATTCTAGTTATATTGTTTCTAGCTAGAATATAGCAACCTCATTTCTGGTTATAGACATGGGAAATTGGTGATATATATTGTGATTTGGGTTTGCAGTACATAGGCCAATCTCGCCCAGTGTTTATCGAGCAGATATTTGACAGGTTAACGACAGGTTCGGCAGGTTATCGTAAGCAGATATTTGACGGTAACATTGCTTACCTTTTTAAGATTGAATTAACACATTTCAAATTCTCAAAAATGTGTCTTCTTTGTTTAATATTACTAGGAGTAATCCATGCCTATCTAATTGTTCAAATTTCTAATATTCGATTTCTCACGTTTAGATGTACAATTTTTTTTGATTGATAGCACACCAAATGTGATGTGTTCTATCCATTTCTTTTAGTGTAAAAATGGTTAATCTTCCGCAATTTTTTCTGCCCACGCTTGTTTACTTGAAAAATGGGAAGCTATGTCTGTTCGCCCTTTAATTTGAAAGATATTTAATAAGTATACAACTTTATTCTAATCTTAAATCAATGATTACGTGTTTTAAATTAACCTAAAATTTTGAAGCACCCTGATGTATACAGGTTTATACAAAATTTATGGTATAAACTTGGAGGGATGATCCAGAACAAAGATATGATTAATATTCACATTGGAAACGCGGGTCGCAATCCATCTATTTATTTATAAACACAACTTAGCGTGTATTTATATTAAAAACATGTAAAATGTGAATGATGCCACATAAAATCTCGTACAAATTGCTTCAGATGAAGAACAGCCCACATATAAATATTAAAATTCATTTAAAAAGATATTTTTCAAGGTATGTGAAGAAACGTTTTTGCATAAATATATGTTACTGCGTTAGAATGTAGTATGTGTGTATCTCTGTAGGGAAAACGCTATTCGCGATTATACTGTCTTCAGAGATGGAAGGCTTTAAGTATGCCGACATAACAGATTTTGGATTACATGCACAGCTGTGCAAACGGTAATGCCAGAGCTGCGCTACGAATACGAATATCGCACAAATAATTTCACGATAAACGAATGCCGGATCACTGACAGGTTCCTCAGTCATATCGTGAATTTGATGACAATTGTTTGTGCTTGCCATCAGACATGATGCTTTTCAACGACAAACTGTACATAATCCAGGATTTGAAGGAACAATTTTGACTTATTGACAGAGTCAAATACAAGGTCTCTTGGACAAAGCTCAGATGCCAGTCAGCGAAACATTGGAAGAGTTTTGAGCAAAAATTGCTTAAACCCTTCTGTTTTCAGTGATTATAAGCCCTGAATCCGTAAGAGTGTCTCTCTATGCCTGAAACCTTTACTAATGGATTTTGCAAGCACCTTGCATTGGAGCCGGTCTTCACAGCTCCTGTTCTGATTACAGATTAGGCAACATTTCCCGCCTGGATGGATTTGATCCGGACATTTCTCATTTGTGTGCAACCTAAACTCCAAATGTTATGCGACCATCTGTACATTAACAAACAATCAGTATAATTCTGCCATCAGGTTTGTACAGGAGGTTTTAATTTGCCCATACCTACAGCCTCAGTGACCAAAGACAAGAGGTATTTTTGTATTCTGGAACAGGTTACCAGAAATGCTCCAGTAAGTTCCGATCTTCATTCTAAGCAAAAGTAATTTCATTATGATGGTGCACCAGCAGACGTTGGCACTGAAGTTCGCATTTACTTAGATGTCACTTGTGGGGCGATTTGAATTCTCCGCGGTAGACCAGTTCCTTGGCCACACCTATCCTTCTATCGAGCCTCGATTATTTTTTGGGACTACTGAAAACTATTTTTTATGCAATTCCAGTTGATTCAGCTAAAGATCTCATTGCTGGAATACGAGTAGCAGCTGCGTGTGTGCGTGAAGTACCTGGCATCTGTTTCAGTGTACACAAGTCTCTCCACCGATGTTGTCGAACATGTGTTGTTGTTGGTAGTCGGAATTTTCAGCTGTTCTTGTAAGAGTCTTGTTTAAGTTGAAGTGAGACACCCCGTACCATTCAATCTATTAGGAGCCCGAATGCATCCATAATCTAGAAATAACCTAGAATTTCTCTGACACATTTTTCACATAAATATATAATTTCCTGCGATCGTTAACTTTAGTATAAGACTTCTCTTTCGAAACTTAATACTAATGCGATTAATGCTGAATAGATCCCGTATCGTAATTCATTATATTATACATTTAATACAATTTGAACGAATATATTTCCGGAATTCTTTTGTGCATACTGTCGAATTTCTTACAAGAAAATAAAAACGGACAAGTTCAATGCACATTAAAATAAATTTTTGATATTTTAATAAAACAATTGAACATAATGTGCTTTTAGTACTACGTACCTGAATGTCCTGAATCCGGGCCAAATTTCCATGCACCTGAACCACCTAAAATGAACAAATATGTGGGAGCTATAACTTTCAATATTTTAGGTTTCTTGTGATTAAAATCGTTCTTTTTAATAAGCATAAATCCGTAGATCTGAAAATCTATAAATTAGTGTTCCGTTTACGGACATACATAATACTTGCCTAAAGTATACGCCATTATCATTTATTAAGAACCAACTCCGAGAGTTGATTTTGTCCAGCTTCGGGTGATTTTTTGTGTTTAGTATTGCTTAATTTTCTAATTTCAATTCTAAATTAAACTCCAAATAGAGGTTTATTGTACGCGCCAAAATAACCATCTATTTTTTTATATTCTATTGGAATAAAAGTGTAGCTTAACATGTCTTTGGAAATGTTACATACACAAGAAAAGCGCAGCGAATAGTCACTTTATATTTCATCAGGGTTCTAGCTTACGAGGAATGTTTGTTTAGCTAGAATATTACAATCTCATTTCTGGATAAATACTTTTGAATTCTGTGACTTACTTTTGGGTATGTAGGCATATCTGGCTTTGCTTTTGTGAGTATATAGGCATATCTGGACCAGTGTTTAAAACGTTTCGGCAGATTATCATAAGTAAATGTTGACAATAATGTTTGCTGAGCTTGTTAAAATTGCATGAACATATTTCAACTTCTCGAAAATGAGTCTTTGTTTAAAATTGTTAAGATAAATCCATACCTATGTAATGTTATCAGATTTCTGATATCTAAGAGCTTTTCACGTTAGATGCATATATTTTTGATAGATTACACTGCAAGTGTGAATGCTGTGTTATATCAGGCGCATTTAGTGT